ACGCTATAGTTATTCCGCTACCTAAGTGTTCTGACCCTACTAACTATGGTCAACTGAGACCGGTCAGTCTACTGCCAATTTTTTCTAAAGTATTGGAACGCGTTGTTTACGAGCAGCTCTGTGCCTACTTATATTGTAACAAAATTATTCCATCTAAACAATCTGTATTTCGACAAGGTCATAATACAGCTTCGGCACTCTGTGATTTAACAGACAATATAACAATGGCACTTGATAACCAAAAAGCAGTAGCTCTCATACTTCTTGACTTTACTAAAGCATTTGACACCATTAATCACTCACTTCTTGTATCTAAATGCAGTTACTACGGATTTTCTGAAAAACCTCTTTCGTTTATTCAAACCTACCTTGAAAATCGGTATCAAAAAGTTCGTCTAAATCAACAGTACTCTACGGAACAAAAAATTTGTTCTGGTGTACCACAGGGATCAGTCTTAGGGCCGCTATTATTTTCATTATATATCTCAGATTTAGAAACAGAGGTAAAATCATGCAGCATACAATTTTTTGCAGATGATACTCAAATTTTCTATTCATTTAGGAGTGATGACTTGGAAACGGCAAATAATAAAATTAATCAAAATCTTGTCCAAATTGAAAAGTTCAGTAGTAGTCATAATCTTCGTTTGAACCCTTTGAAGATAAATATGTTAGTATACGCAAATAGAACAAAAAAGAATACCTTAAAAAAGGACTTAGACATACATTTAAAAGGTAATAAATTAATTCCTGTGGATCATTCGAAAAACCAAGGTATTATAATGGATGATGACTTAAAATTTGTTGCACACGTGAACTATCTAATTACTCAGTGCTACGCTATTCTCAGAGTTTTATTTGCAAATAAGGCTATATTACATAAATCTGCGAGAAAGCAGTTGTGTGAATATTTCGTATTTTCAAAGATATCGTATTGCTTAGTGGTTTACTATCCCTATTTAGATATTGTAACAAGAAATCGTATTCAAAGTATTATGAATAAATGTTGCAGTCTTGTAAATGATCTCAGAAAATTTATTATTAATGAACTCAAATGGATGAAAATTGATAAAATGTATAAGTACCAGCTCCTAAATCTGACTCATAAGGTTCTTTATTCAAAAACACCGTCATATTTAGTAAACTAATTCATACGTAGAGGGAATATGCATCGTATTAATATTAGATATAGAGAGACTTTTTCAATTCCACGCCACAGCACGTCTCTATTTCAGAATTCATACATTTACAATGCGATCAAATCATATAATTCTTTAGACCGCAGTTTAAAAGAAACCAATCCATTATCCAAATTCAAGAAAAAAGTGAAAAAAGTTCTTCTTGATCAGCAGCGAAATCGGTTGTAACCCATAAGTGTCCTCATATTTTCCTTATGTATTTACTTGGATTATTCGTTATTGTATACAGGTGCCTATTAATATTCAACAAATTCTTTTTTTTTACATCTCGTATTGTTAAGGGAGTTAGATGGTAGAATAGATATATAATCTAAATCTCGCCTCCTGTAAGAATATTACAAATAAAAGACGTTAATTATTATTATTATTATTATTATTAAAAACTTCAGATGCAATGAGACCTAAGTTGTGTAATTTTAGTATTGTTTGTCGCATGCTGCTGTTGTCAGAATGGGCAAAAGGAGACCTCATGCCCTTGACTGCTTCCTTTTAGAGTAACTTCTGATTTGACCTACATAAACATAAACGTTAAGATCAAGTGCAATTGTTGCCGATCCTGACAAATCTAAAGGTCAACCACGAATTTCAGCGCTAACGTAACCCAAGAAAAATATAAAATTTTGAGGTGGGTCTTAATCTCTCATGATCTTTTCAGATACAATACGTTAGTAAGGTTTTTATCAAAAACACTTTGAGTATTTCTCTTAGGTCTCATATTGAGAATTACTATACAGACTTGCTTTACAATCTTGACTAGTCTTCCAAAATTTAGCGAGAATGCCATAGAAAACTCACGTTGCTTCCCCAGAGTGAAATTCTGGAAGCGCCACTGTTCGTTCTCATAACAATACGTAATAAATTAAATACCGCCATTTTTAATCCAATGCTGCGGATGCTACAAAACCATTTCCATATTAACCCCTATGATGTATGTATCATATGAAAGAGCTTAACGGGAGAAACACAATAAGCAGAGCGCCGTCAAAATGACGAATTATCATTTCCATGGTATCCTCTATGCTGTAGGTAGCTCATAACAATCCACTTCTTCATTTTCCTCCTGACTCTTTGCGCGGGTACCCCTAAAGCTGGCTTAAGACCAACGAGCTTGCTGGCTGATGCTGTCTGCGCCTCCAGTTCAAACATGTCAGCGCAATAATCTACACTTTTTTCTAAAAATATACACAGTACTAGGGGTAGCAGTGGTGGCGATGCCTAAAAACTGAGCCACCTTTGCAGTTCCCGTGGTACCAACACTGTACTACGCCTTGAGACTACTATAATTTATTCACTGAATCAAAACAGTTACGTCACAGTGTCAAATAATGACAGTGACGCACATTGTTGCCACATTAATTAAGACTACTAGATCCTAGGACATTTTACAAGATCTACTTTATGTCTTCGATGCCAAGCAACATTACAGGGCGTATGTTTTGTTAATGCTAGAGCTAGTATAAATTCTATTTACTATCTAATACCTCTCTTACGGACTGTAAAGGCAAAAATGGAGCTCCATGATCTCGTTCAATCCCAAAATATTTCGTCAAAGAAATGACGAATTCTTCTACTTGTCGGCCCAGAGGGTTCAGCATTTTAACAAAGTGGTTAAAATGACACCCCAAAGTTTTGAGAAAAAACTGTTTTTATAAAATAACAATGCAAATATTGAGACAAAAAGAACGAACATAAATCACAAATAAACAACGCTGTTGGCGTAATTACCCGACAAGCCTTGCGACAATGCCACAACACAGAAAACTGTTACCAACATAAATGTACCCGGGAAATTCAAACTATAGTTACCAATTTAGCATCTATTTTACATTGAGGTTGGCACTCAAGTTTACTAAATATGACGTAGTAACTGTTTTGTTTCAGTGAATAAACTAGTAGTAAATAATAATAATAATAATAATAATAATAATAATAATAATAATAATAATAATAATAATAATAATAATAATAGACGTCTTTATTTATCCACAATTACATTGTAGTATAGCCAAATGTCAGACTTACATGGCGAAGTTTAGCATGCTGCTACTCTTACACTTAACCATATAGCCTCTAGCAGATGTTCAAAAGAATACACTATCCACAAACAGATTTGGTTCATTACATCGAAAGTAGAAATTCAAAAAAGAGAAAAAGGAATACTTTCCAAACCCAAATGCACCAAAAAATTATTAATCTGAATTAAAGATGGAATAAAAAAGAAATGAATGATTACGTAAATTATATGTTTGGAGGGTTGAGTAATAATGTTTTAACTTTTTGTCAAAAGACAGGTAATGAAAATTCTTTATATACTTTAGGAAGGTCATTATAAATAATAGCAACATTGTAAGAAAAACTGCGTTTAAAGAGTGTAGACGTATGCAGGGGTATTCTAATATTATTTCTCTGAGAGTTATACAGTGAACATCATTATTAAATGCAATTTTTTCCTTCAAGTAATAAGGTTTAGACGTGAGCAGCAACTTGTGAACAAAAAATGAATAGTGATAGTTGACCATGTCATTAATTTTTAACCAGTTTGGAACGGGATATTTCGCAGATACATGATCAAATTTACGTAAGCCAAAAATGAATCGTCTACAATTGTTTTAAATAACTTGAATAACGTTTTTAGTGAAATTGTCTAAACAAGTATAGTATACGATATTACAATAATTTAGTATAGATATGACCAATGCTTCACATAGTTTTTTACGCAACTTAAAATTTAGTAAATACCTGTTTGCTATAAGAGTGCGCAGCCGTAGGTAGGTTTTCTGTAAACCTTAATTTTGTATCAAAAACAACACCAAGAATTTTTGCAGAATCAGAAAATTGCAAGATTTGGTTATTTATCTGAATGTTCAAGAGCTGTCTTTCTCTTTGTGCGCAAAATAATAACATTTTAGATTTTGGTGGATTAATAAGTAGATTGTGATCTAAAGAGTATTTAATTAATTTATTAACATCGTTTTGTAAAATTTGAGTAGTATTATTGACATTATTATCTGGGTTAAAATAATGGAGCAATTGCGTATCGTCTGCAAATGACTGGACATGAGAATTATCAATACTTTCGCTTAAGTCGAACGTATATATGAGGAACAGAAGCGGCCCCAATACAGAGCCCTGAGGTACGCCTGAGGGAATTATTGTCACTTGAGACATTTCTTGATTGAGAAAAACACACTGAGTTCTTCGATGAAGGTAACTGTCGAAAAATGAAAGGGATACACTGTCAAGACCTATGTAATTTAATTTAGCAAGTAATAATTTATGATTGATGCTGTCAAAGGCTTTCGAATAGTCTATAGAGATTAAGGCTAGTGCCATTTTCTTATCTAAGGCACTTAAAATATTGTCTTGCAGATTAAGTAGGGCAGATGTTGTACTATAATTTTCTCTAAATCCGGATTGAGTGTCGGGAAGTATAAAGAATTCTTCTAGGTAAGCGGTCAATTGGAACTTTATAATTTTTTCTAAAATTTTGGATAAAATTGGTAATAAACTGATAGGTCTGAGATGATTATACTCAGTGGGTTTCATTTTTTTAGGAATTGGAATAATTAGAGCTTGTTTCCATCTGTTTGGAAAGTAGCCCTTTTCCAAACAGTCGTTAAAGATGTGGACGATGTGATTGAGAATAACTGGCAGGCAAAGCTGGATCATTGACAGGGATATACCATCAATTCCCTTCGCATCAGATTTTAGATTTACGATACAGTAAACCAGCTCCAGCGACGAGACGTACATATCGGTAATATTCCACGCACAGTCGTGATATAGATAATACAACCAAAACATCCGAGGCCGGGATTCGAACCCGCGACATCCGGATTGCTTGCCTGAGGCGCTAACCACGGCGCTACCAAGGCGCCAAACAAATGTACCCAATCTTAGGCTGTATTTGAACGTTCAGACTGGAAACAGAGAAAATTGTTAATTCTTACACACGACGTCAACCTTCCAAAGAAAGATCACCTCTCCAGTTCCGACGTAATGTCAAATACGCAATTCCATAAAGGCTAAGTCGTGGAATATTCAGCGCAGGGTCCTAGAAGTTAAATAGCTGTAGGATGACATACAGGTTTAGAGAAAATAATGAAAACACATGTTGTCTTCAAAACCTGTATTGCTGCAGTTTCATTTTATGGTCGGCCAAAAATTAACTATATCTTGATTAACTAAATTATTGCAACGTTTTTATTAGTCAGAATAATAATTTTATAACAGTTCTTAAAAATATTGAATTTTATTTTTATAGTAAAACACTTGTTCTAATAATTCTATGGTAGAAAATCGTACTATACCATCCATCTTTTTTTATAACTTCCGTCAACCTTAAATACGAGAACTGAACGTGCTGTTTTTTCCTGTGCTCTCGTGTAGGAGTTCAGCGGTCACGACGTGCGTGAGTGAATCAATTTCACATCCAGAACTGACATTTGCCGGGTTGTGGAAATTTTGATATAAATCTGCCTCCATTGATGAATTTTGTTGTCGGGGCCCTTTTCTCAACCTATTGGGGACTTAGCCGTTGTTGCAGCTACACTTAAACCATCGAGATGCATTGACACTCCGAAACGATCTACGAGGGTGGTCCCAGAAGTACCCGGCCTGACCTAGAAATGGCGATAGGTGTTTGAAAAATATCATTGTATTAGAAAGTCTGCAACCTATAAAGCCTATGTGTCAAATTAGAAGACGCCACGTTGTTTAGTATTTGTTTGGCAGCCATCAATACTGGAAGTTTTTAGTGAATTTGTGAAAATGGAGAAAATTGGTCATCGTTATGTGGTACAATACTTTTATTTCATAGGCCTCAGCCCAACCGATATAAAAGCTGAACTGGATTCTACTCTGGGCGAGTCTGCTCCTTCGTTTACAACAGCAAAATATTGGGTAGCAGAGCTTAAATGAGGCCGTATGAGCTGCCAAGACGAGCATCGCAGTGGTCGACCAAATGAGGAGACGACTCCAGAAATGGTGAAGAAAATTCACGAAGCGGTACTGAATGATCGTCAAGTGAAAGTGCGCGAGCTAGCAGACATAGTAGGCATTGCAAAGAGTGCGCTTCACCGCATATGATCTGAAAATTTGGACACGAGAAAGCTGGGTGCAAGATGGGTGCCGCGATTGCTCGCAATCGAGCAAAAACAGTGTCGTGAAGATGTTTCACTTGAGTGTTTAGCGAAGTTTCACAGAAACAAAGCAGAATTTTTGCGTCGTTTCATAACCATGGATAAAACATGGGTCCATCACTTCACACCTGAGAGAAAAGAACAATCAAAACAATGGACAAAAAAAGGGACAACCGGCTCGAAAGAAGGCGAAGATCGTTTCATATGCAGGCAAGGTTATGGCGTCGGTTTTTTTGGGATGCGCGAGGGATAATTTTCATTGACTATCCTCAAAAAGGTAAAACTATCAACGGCGAGTCTTATGCGAACTTATTGCAACGTCTAAGCGATGAAATCAAGCCAAAACGGCCGCATTTAGTTAAGAAGAAAGTGTTGTTTCATCAAGACATTGCACCAGCTCACAAATCCGTTATTGCGATGCACAAAATTAACGAATTAAAGTTTGAATTGCTACCTCATGCAGCCTATTCACCAGATGTAGCCCCCTCCGATTATTTTCTGTTTCCAAACTTGAAAAAATGGCTCAGTGGCCAGAGATTTTTCAACGATGAAGAAGTGATGTCGGCAGTTGATGGCTATTTTGAGGAGCAAGACAGTTCTCATTATAAAAAGGGTATCGAACTTATTGAACATCGCTGGGAAAGTGTATAGAACACAAAGGAGATTATATTGAAAAATAATTTTTACAAATTTTTTGTGTTTTCTTCGTTGGGTTGGATACTCCCGAAATGAGCCCATTGCATCGGCCAGCATCCGTGCAGGAATTTGGGTTACTTCTCTTCTTATTTCGTCCTTCAAATCGACGAGGGTTCGAGGCTTGCTTTGGTAAGCCTTTGATTACAGGTAGCCCCATAAAAAATAATCACACGTTGATAGGTCCGGGGAGCGAGGGGGCCATGGAATATTGCCATGACGTGACATGAGACGTCCTTGGAATTTTTGCCGAAAAAGTTCCATCAAAGTGCGAGCTGCGTGAGATGTTGCCCCGTCTTGTTGGAACCACACTGTTCTGAGACGTCGAAGTTCCGGAAAAAAAAAGTTGTTCAGTATGTGGATGTAACGCTCTGTATTCAGAGTAGTGGTTTCTCCATTATCCTCCAAAAAATAAGGGCCAATAATCATCGTTGGGCCCACTGCACACCCAACTGTAACTTTCGGGGTATGCACGGGGTGCTCATGCAACTGCTGGGGGTTCAGTGGAGACCAATAGCGACAATTTTGTTCACTGACGTATCTATGTAAATGAAAATGTGCTTTATCATGTCTGTCATTGTTATCGAACTGTTCAATCGAGAGCTGTGCAAAATTAACACGTTGTGCATAATCCCCTGGCAGCAGTTGTTGACAAACTTGGATTTTGTACGGATTCCTAAATCACTCTTCAAGATCCGACGTACAGGAGACGCGTGGATCCTTAGGGAGCTGGCACGCAAACGGACGGAACGATTCGGGCTTTGCAGCGTGTCAACTCTTAGTCTGTCGAAGTTTTTGGGAGTTCTAACAGTACGGTTTCGCCCTGGAGGTTTTTTCTTCATCACATTACCTGTTGTGTTGAATGCTTCCACCCATCTCAAAATGGTGTTACGGTCTGATACTGTCGCACGACGTGGAACACGAAAGGGAACGTGAAACGCACGTTGCGTTCAAACCACAGACTCGCCATTTTGAAAGTACCGACGTACAGTGAACACACGATGCTCAACGTTCCAAACCATCTGGCCAGCTGAAACGGCACTTCTACCACTATCCATCACGCCCTTCCCCACCGACACGGGACCAGCCCACTCGATGTAGTACCCATTCGAAAAACATGCGTTCTTTCTGGTTCTGATTTACTTCTAAGACTTCCTACCCTTGGTTACCTTGCTTCGGATCTTCCATTTGGGTAGCCTTTTCTTCGAGAGGCTACATAGCAGCTATCTCTTCTCTTGTGTGGGAATCCGTCCCAACATTCTGTAATAGCCAAGCACCTACCTAGGTGATTTTTATTTAAGTTTAGCTTTTGCTGGAAAACATTTACCTGGGCTTTAGTACCAACTAATTTCCTTTTGCTTGTCTCCCAGGGCTTCTTTTGAATTCCTTTTTTTGTTCAATAAATATTTGTGTGCCTTGTGAATTTGTGTTTCCTTTAGCTCAAGAGTCGCATCATATGGCAGTCAATTTAAATTTTGATAGGCCTTCCTAGTTCTTGGACCTAAGTGGCGCCCAAACCGCAACCATTTGTATCAAAGACCAAAGTACAACGACCGATACTCCGAGGGCACCTTATCTACCAACCGAGCACAGGCTTGGTTATATTTTCTTCCCCAAATTATAACTAGAAATTTCGACTAGATAACACAGTTACTAGGGATAACACTATGTCATCCTATAGTTATTTAACTCTTAGGGCCCTACGCGGGATATTACACGATTTAGGGCCGATTTCACCAACATTAATATTATGGACCAATGGGAAAATAACTTATCGAAATGCAATTTGATAGAAGCTGTCAAAGGTCTCTGGATATTAGTGATTTCTATTGAAATATTGAATAATATCGTGAAAATTCGACTGTATGTAAACAAGACCACTTTTTAATCCCAACATGATGCTTTTGTAAAACAAACAGGATAACTTTCATGTATTTTGATATGTGTTATAGGTTTACATTTAACAATCCGTTATCCCCCTCAGCGAATGGGAATGCGGCAAATAATAGGTCGATTTTCTAGCTGTTAAATTTGGCAGCAGATCTGGATGTTTGTTAATGCATGGCACTCTCGAATTTACCAACTTCAATATACTGAGTTATCATTACATATCTGTTGAATAGTGTAGATTTGTCTGCAAGAAAATAGAATATAAAATACATTCCATCCAATTCCTCATCTGCCTTTACGTCATAATAGTAATCACTTATTAATTTATGGGTTAATGAATGTCGTTAAAGCAATAAAAACATTATGTCCTCTCCATCCTAAACCACAGATAATATGTGTAAGAGGTGTCAATCCCTACATCTCCCTGATGGAAATAGACAAAAAAATATGAAAAATGTTCCACAAATAATGTCTTTTAAGTCCAAAAATCAAAAAACTAGTAATGTTTATTGTTTGTCTTTTTGACTCGCGAGGATATCTATCTGTCATTCGCAGGGTTGCCAAGTCTAACGACGATCACGTCTCGTGGTGGAGGGTGCGAAATGAATCTTTTACATTTGCTGGTTTTAAATTTTTTTCGTGAAAATTTACTAGGTAGCATGATTCTAAGTATCTTTGATAGATTGTTCGATCCGGAATGGGAAAGATCTCCTATTTATGAAAATATTTTTGGTATCATCTAACCGTTTCAATCAGTGTACAAACACTGTGACATATGATTTATAGCATAACCCGCTGCCCTATCAATACAAATTTAACACACAGGTCGCCTAGCCGTGGGGATGCAGTGGTCGGGATGAATATCACGGCAGCAAGATATGTTTGATTTGGCAGGGTAATGTCGCAGCCAAATGGCAGTCACTCTTTCTGACACAGTCCGGATCGAAAGATGACGATACTCGTGAAATGTATTGATACTTCTAAATATAGGATCGTATCGAGCATCCCTACTGTCAAGATATATAACCCAAGGTACCGACGGAGCTATTTTGCGGCGTCATGGAAATAATTTTAAATCTTCATTTGCATTTTTTCAAGTGTTGTGCAATAATTTTGGGAAAAATGTCACGAATAGTTTTACAAAGTACAGTAGAGTATATTTTAACAGTTGGAGGAACTTACTCCACTGGGACCAGGAGGGTGAAACGGGATATTAATGCACAATCTGGCAACCGTGTCGCACCCTCACAAAATGGCCGCTGACAACCAGACAAGTCACCGTGTTGTCATTGAATAGCATGGAATTAAGCCTTCAGAATATATGTTTTGTGACTGGTACCAAAAGTTGACAGATCCCACACATGTGTCACTCCTTGAAATGCAATAATCAGCTGTATTCAAATAATGTCTAATATAAATATAACCTAGAATGTGTACTCGTGAAAAAAGAAACATATGGCAAATTTGTAGTTTTTTGCAGGTTTTAGGTTTGCTGGTAGCTTTAAGGCATTTATTTGGGAATTTCTTAATCGCTGTGAATATAGTGTGGATGTTTGTTCAGTTCCTGATCAATGAAACATATTCAACTTTATGGATGTATGGATATCAAAAAACCTGAATGGTTTTGTGGGAATATCAATCTAGGGTGCCATAATGGTTCTGATGTACGGCAAGTAAATGAATGCATGTTTGGAAACGAGCAATATCTCTTGGTAGAGCCTGTCATCAAGTAGGTGCTTAATGGCTATCTGCAAGAGATTTATAGGAAAAAACACCCAGTAGATGATCTTGAATCAGTAAAATCGCATATCAATTGAAGAAAATAATATTGCCATGAATAAAAAATCAACAATGGTAATTAAAATATGAATTTTATTCAAAAAATCAAACATTTGTTTAAATTTTGACTGAATTATATGTAATTTCTTAATACTCAATAAGCTGGTGATGTTTCAATGACAAGCTGTCATCTCATACTTTGACAGTATTTTATTCTCAACATTTCATAGCTATTGGTTGCTAAAACTTGTTGATTGGAACTTAAAGCTCATTCGTTGTATTTGACGGTCTGTTACCCTATAGGTGGAGAATAACGGACTGTTGTAGGTGAAATTGACCCTTAGTTTAGTAACAATGCTTGCAGCTGAAATATTTTCTAACCTCAAATTCCAATTGTCCTTGTATTTGACGTGGTTGTCAGTTATCTAAACAACCTCCGCAAAAGATTTCTTTTTTGTGTGGATGTTTCTGAATGAATTGAACCAACTGCAGCTTAGACATTTTTGTGAGGGTTAGATGACACTCATATATCATGCAAATATATAAACAATAATGGCCTGTCTGTTTTTCACAAAGCCCAGGCAGTAATGATTTGCAAACAGACATAATTCATGAGTGCATCGCTCACCATAATTTATGTGCGGTCGCTTCAATTTTGCGCAATCGGTATTTATTGCAGCACATGTTAGAAAATACGAAAAACCAATCAACCAGCGCAAATACCGCCAGTTTATAATGTTGACGTTGAATAAATGACTTTCCTGTTCGAATCGATGCTACCAAGTAATTGGAGATTTACTTCTTTTTTGCTATGCACCGCGTTTGATTTACTTCCCACACATAAGCGAGGGAAGGCTTGTGATCGGGAACTTTAAAGCCACAGTATTATAAGTTGGAAATCATGGAATAATTGTCAAAAATGCAAACCTTTTCGACCCGATGCCTCGTTATTACTGAGCCGTATTCATAAAAGAGAAGCGTATCCTCGGAAGCATAAGGTGAAAGTATAAGGTTTTGCTTCGGAGAAAAAGGCAGAAGTATAAACATATCCTTGTTTTCATATTCATAATGATTACCTTATACTCGTGAGGATATCCTCCAAGAAGAAGTAAAAGGTTAACTGGTATTTGTATCTTGAGCGACATGTCCTGACTTGTTAAAGATTATAGTTGACGTGGGAGTTCGGTCACTCAGCATCACTGACAGTTGTACTCCAGAGCTTACACAGTTCGTTCCGTATTTTTACTGGATACAGTTTTTTATCACATTAATAAGCATGTCATCCTCAAGTGATGAGGAAACTATCGAAAATAATGGCAACGACCTGCAGTTCATCGCAGATGAAATTGCCGTTGCTCCCATTATTTTTCAAAAGTCACAAGTTCCAAAAATAAAAATGAGAAAGGGCGATGCCTTGAAGATGTTGAAACAATACTAATCAACATTCCGTAAACCATTAGATACTATAGGGTTAATAAAAAAATCAACAACATGGAATCAAGATTGAAGAAAAAACAGATCTAAAAAAAACTGGTAATAAAGCAATTAAAATTGTTAGATTGGGAAAGAAAGTTGCTGAAAGCTATGGAAGGTGACTGTAATCCTACAATTGGGAAAATTAGAGGTGCCATTCAGGTTGGTAGTGTTCAAGAAGAAGAAAGAGAATTATATGCGGAGTGCAGTGAGCGAACAGCCTTCTACAACAAGAGTATTATAAAACGAAATTAGAACTGATGCAGCATCAGAAGCCACCTGTAACTTATGATGTTCACGAGAATAAAACTTATTATAACTTATAAATACACTTTAACCAGTAAAACTATTTATTATAATAACTCAAGTTTCTTGTTAATTGTTGACCTAGATGGCGGAGAGGAAGTTCGTCATTCTCATGATTTCCTTCATCTTCATCTGGTTCCTTTTCAACTAACTTAAAGTCAAGATCTCCCAAGCTCTTCGCAACATTATAGAGTACAATACAAGCAATAGTTATTTTCGGCACATTTTCCAACTTTACGCGGCAAACATTCTGTAGGATAGGAAACCAGCGTTTCAGTTGGCCGAAACAGAGTTCAATTATAACTCTTTCTTGTTTTAAAAGCTTACTATAATTCATTTCTGCACCTGGAGTAGGATTTCTGAAGGGAGTCATAAGGCAGGGCTCAATACCATAACCGTCATCGCCAAGTAGTACAACACTTGCTTTATTTATGATCTAGTCTGTGAATTTCTCCATACTCTGGAATCATGCACTGATCCAGGCCAACTGACATCAACACTTGTGAACATCTCTCTGGCATCACAAGTGGCTTGCACACTTAAAGTAAGTTTCCCTTATCGGTTGGTATACTCATCTCCATGGCGATTTGGTTTTGGGATTCCTATATGTGTACAATCAATTATCGTTCGTTCGGATGTGCAACTATGCTTGTCGCAACTCTATCCACAGTCCGAAATACCGTTGCTTGACTAACACCAAGTTCCTGACCAATACCTTGTTGATATCAAGGGTCACCGAGATAGCGTAGACATATCTTCATTTTATGAATAACATGAAAGTGCTCCTCCTCGAGTTTCCTCATCCTCAACTGAAAATCTGTCCGCAAGCCATTGTATATTTGCTTCGTCGAACCAATATGATTTCTTGAAGTCACGACCACGTGAATGTTAAGAAGGTTTGTACGTTCTAACATCCCTAACATCCACAATTTCCGCCATCATCGTTTGACCACCTTTCGTTATAAGGTTGAGTCTGCTACTGACCACACTCAGAATTTTTGAAGGATATGCTCCCTACGCCAAGTATACGGTGAAGATTATGTCACTGCTTTGAAGGATATGCTTATATTAAAAAAGCCAAAGCATTTGCTTCAAATTATTAAATACAATCTGGAGGATTTCCTTCAAAATTTGCAGGTACAAGGATATCGTTTGTTTTATGAATACGGCTCACTGTCTAGATCTAGATGATACTTCTTCGAGGAAAATAGTGAAATACGAAAGGTCGTAGAGTTTTGATAGGTATTGTCTCCTGTCAAGCGTGACAAGGCAAATGGTGCGTTCTCAGTCTAAGAAGGCCTGATATGCGTAAGGCCGTCATTCTACACCGAAGACTTACAACAATACAAATATATCTACCTATTTCCTCGTCTTAATTCCTACCAATCAGAAACGCGCAACTTTGAATTACAAATGATTTCTAGACGGAAAAATTGTATGCACCTGTCAGTAATTCTCTCGGCAAAACAGCTTTTGTCACCAAAAATTACAATACCTTTGATAACAAGTAATTATGGTCTCCTAGGAAACTAGAAAATGATGCTAAGCAGTTTTTCGGATTTTATGGCAATTTATATTTCGATTGTACCATCCATAATTATGTTTGTAGTATTTTGTGATTGAATAACTTACCGGTTTTTGAGTTTTAAAATTGATACCGATATGTCTATTATGTTTGAATGTATAATAGGTTGTATGTTTTGTAAGCTATGTGTATGCAGAATAACCTGTTACTCATGAAATGGTCTTGTCAAAGACCATTCGGACAAAGAATACAAGGTTAAATAATATTCTTTTAACAAAAAACATTCGTGCAAGTCCAAAAATCTTCGTCTTCGACTCGGATTTTGTTGCCACTGACATTCATGCTTCTTTCTTACTTAGCAACGTGCTTTTTCGATTTGTTGAAAATTTTTTCGATCAAATTTTAAGGGTAAATGTATGGGGAAATCTGTGATGTCTGGAATATATTTAATAGGTGCAAAGAATTACCGTAACGCGTAAAAAAATCAGGTACATGTACCGTCCCACATCTCACAATTTTGTACAATTTTTTTTTCTAAAGAGAGCCTCTGACAAGTCAAGAAATAAAGCTTGAAATATATTTTTTTGTCTCATTTTTTGTATTTACACTGCCACGTCATTGATTTGTCAGGCAGACGCACAGACCGCCAGAAATATATGTTTTCTGTTATGTACGTGTCACATAACATCTAAAAAACATATTGTCTCATTTTTGATATTTTTCGCGATTACAATAGGTACTTTCTCGACAGCTAGCGTGGGAAGTGAAAGAAGTCCAGCGGCCATAGTGGTGACTGAGCTGTCTGATCCGAATTGGAAATACACCTTACTGTTTTCACTATGGCAGTGCTTGGTTATGGTAATACGAGGGATGTCTTTCAAGTTTTGCATATAGAAACATAGTAGGCCGCGCGGATCGAACGTCAGTACTGAATCTTAACCACACTCTTCAGTAAACTTAAATTCAAAGTTTCACACCAATACGTGCAGGTTCTCACTACAGTGAATTTAATTTATTAAAACTTTCAGAGACAATTATCGCAACCTGAATGCTTTGCTGAGTTACCGTTTGTTTTCGGCAACAAAGCGCCACATCAGTCGACAATTTCCCGTTGGTATGGAGAATTCAAACGTGGACGGGTGAGTCTTAGCGACGATCCCAGGGTGGGTGCACCAAAAACGGCAGTCACCCAGGAAAATGTCCATGATGTGCGCAAACTCATCATTGAAGATAGACATGTGACATATCGCGAGATTGAGGCGTCTCAAAGACCTCAATTCAAAAAATTTTACATGAAGAATTAGGAGTAAGAAAATTAGTTTCACGTTGGATACCCCACCTGTTGACTGAAGAGCAGAAAGCAGCCAGGGTTAATTGGTGTCAAAAAACGCTTGACCGTTTCAATTCCGGAAACTCAAAAAATATGTACAGCATTGTTAGTGATGATGAATTGTGGATTTACTGTTGTGAACGAGAAAATAAACGACAGACGGCTGTTGGGTATTCCAAGGTGAAGAAAAGCCAACAAAAGTCATCCGTTCTCGAAGTGTTTCGAAAAAGATGCTCGCGACATTTGTGTCAAAATTGCAATAATTCCTCTTAATGAGCAAATAACTGTTACTGCGGATTGGAATACCACCATTTGTTTGTCAAAAGTCATCACCGAGCTTCGAAAAATCAACCCCGAAAGAAGGATCATCCTCCACCAAGACAATGCAAGCTCGCACACAGCCCAAAAAACAAGGCAGTATTTAACGGAAGAAAACGTGGAATTATTGGACCATCCTCCATATAGTCCCGATCTAAGTCCAGCGAATTCTCTACTTTCACGAAAATTAAAAACAGGCAGCGTGGTCAAAGGTTTCAGTCACCAGAAGAAGTAGTTGACGCATTCAAAAATGCCGTTTTGGATATGCCAGCAAACGAGTGGAATAAGTGGGCTTTGAAAATTGGTTCGAGCGCATGCAGATGCGTATCAATCTTCGTGGAGAATACTTCGAAAAACAATAAAGTCATTTAAAACTACCTACCGCGTTGTTTTATTGCCATATGCAAAACTTAGAAGACATCCCTCTAGATGGCACTGTGTACCCTGTTATTTCAATAGACCTGATATCTTGGATAGAGGATAGTTCATCGGCCTCCGTACGTAGACAATTTTGATGAGTTTTCAAATAGTACTAAACAGTTGTCCATGGTTTGGCCATCTGTAGGAGGAGTTGGCTTTGGAAAAAATTCCATTAGCCACAGATTTTTATAGTCTGTGTTACATGGTGCTTTATATCACTACCGCAATTAATCTTGCGAACTCAACTATTTCATCCAGAATGGACTTTCTGTTTAAGCTTAGCAATGATGACACTTGAATTGGTTGAAGTGTTATCTTATCTTCCAAAATCAGTCTATATCCTATAAAATTAGAACCATGGCCTAGTTTCTTATGCATTCAAAGAAATTATGTTTTAAATATTAAATACGTTACTTTGGTTGATTCTCATTCTCAAAAATATTTAAAACGAAAGTTAAAAATTACATCGTGAACCACCTGATGATTGGCAACAGGGTGGCGCATCGAAAACGAAACAGACGCATTTACTGACAGCTGAGTTTTTTTTTGGAAAAACGCTCAGACCCGTCGATTTTGTTTTCGAGGGGGACACAAATTTGGCAAAAAATCACGTTAACACGTGCAGCCCTCTGGGCGGGGGTCACACCAACCCTAAAATCCTAAAAGGAAAGGGGGCTCCAGTGATACCTTTTTTAAAGGTCTTTTAATTCCCTTTATAATGATATAAAATTAATGTACTTCAGTTCAGTAGTTTTGAAGATTTATTGATTTAAAGCTTAAATAAAACTAATACATCATCATTAGTGGAGATCAATACATTTGGCAGTAAAGTAATTTAAAAATGATAAATGAACTGCCCCGTTAATCAAGCAAATGTTGAAAATGGCCACCATGACTCTCCATGCAATAATAAAGGTTTTGCTCAAAACGTTGTGGCACATTTTGCAATATTTGAGGAGTAATTTGAAGGCACTCATTCATAATTCTTTGTCGCAGGTCTTCTAATGATGTTGGCTGAGTAGTATAGATTTTGCTTTTAAAGTGACCCCACATAAAGAAATCCAAAAGTGATAAATCTGTCGATCTTGGGAGCCATTCAGTGGCACCTGTTCTACCAATCCATCGATCTGGAAACGTCTGATCTAAATATTGTCTAATACGTAATGCGTAATGTGGTGGGGCACCATCATGTTGGAACATCAACCTATTCGCAATGTATCGCCGATCATTCTGATTTTCAATTATGGCTGTTAATGCAGGATCTATGGCGTCTTCCAGTAATTCCAAATACATTTCACCGGTCAAATTTCCAGGTAAGAAAATAGGACCAACTGAATGATCGCCAAAAATACCAGCCCAAACATTTCACTTTTGTGGCTGCGATGTATGAACCTCATGATAAATTCTCTGATTAGAATCGGACCAATATCGGCAGTTATGACGATTTACTACACCATTGAAGAAAAAGGAACATTCGTCGGAGAGCAAGTGTTGAATAGAAAATGTTCATCGTTCATAATTCGTTCACTCATATCTTCACAAAATTGTAATCGCCGATCAAAATCGTCTTTATTAAGTTTTTGTACCAGGTGAACTTTATAGGGATGAAAACTATGGGCCTTTAGAATCCGTTGGACAGTACGTCGACTAACACCACACACAATCTCCAGCTTGCGAGTACTTAACGTAGTATCTACATAAACTTGCCGTAAAACCCCCACTTCTATTGCTTCGTTCCTTATGGTATTTTCAATGTTGCGTTTTTTATTGGCTACTGACCCAGTTTCTCGAAATTTAGCTACAAGGTCTAGAACATATTTTCGATGCACGTTACTATTCTCTTGTCGCTCATTAAATATTTCTGCTGTTCTATTAGCGCACTGATCATTTCCGAGAAGTATTTCGATAATTTCAATTCTTTCTGCTGTGGAATATACCATGGTTAATTTATGTAATAAAGCATTACAAGTTATTTTAGCAACAAGGTTTCGTCAAATCAATCGCAAACTATGTAGTAAATTCCTATTTGAGATAGGTACGAGATATTTCCTTATCTTTCTTCAAGAAATAACTTTTTTAATAAACAAACCATGGACGTAATGAAGAAAGGCATTTACTTATTAAGTAAGTTCTTTTAGTCAAATTTCTTCTGAAAGTAGTACAAACTAATCTGATGTACCTATTAAAGTCTACTTCAGATCAATAAATCTTCAAAACTACTGAACATTGATATTATATCATTATAAAGGGAATTGAAAGACCTTCAAAATAAGGTATCACTCGACCCCCTTTTCCATTTAAGATTTTAGGGTTGGTGTCACCCCCGTCCAGGGGGCTGCACGTATTAACGTGATTTTTTGCCAAACTTGTGTCCCCTTCGAAAATAAAATCGACGGATCTGAGCGTTTTTCCAAAAAAAAACTGAGCTGCCAGTAAGTGCGTCTGTTTCGTTTTCGATGCGCCACTGTGTATATATACAGGGTGACTTTGAAGTTGAGTCATTAATTTTCAGATAATGATTGTAGAAGGAAGATAAACCAGAATGTGTGTAAAAATAAAAAAAAATTAAAAAAAAATCTTTACCTTGTTTTATAAAGTATCCTCCCGACAAGTATTTCAGTGCGGACCTGTATTTGATCGTGAGGTCCCCTGTGAGGTCTTAAGTCACCTGATTCACGAGCCCGTTGTACTACATTAACAAAGGCACGAGGGGTTGGTTGCACTCGATTGGGAAACCGATCCGCATAAACATGTGCCATTTTTTATTTCGTTTGAGCCACGCAACAGAAACTATTCACACGCTAACCGACAGATACTGACTGTATGTATAACTGAACTGAATAAAACACTTAATTGCAAAAACGTCGTTCCAAATTCTTTCGCTTTTTTGTTTCCGATGCGATGAACCGGTAAGGCGGATTATATCCGTTGTTGCCAAACACGAGTACATGATATTATTATTGAGACAGGGCGGTACTCAAACTTCCAAAGGGCTATAACTTTGTTACTTTAATTTTACCAGAAAAATGGTAAAGGAAAAAAACATTTCTTTTGATCAGATCTACTCACTGTTAAAATAAATGACTCAACTTCGAAGTCACCCTGTATATATATATAAAATTAAAGCTTCCGCCTTTTGTTGGGTACTTCGACAAAATTTAAGCAAAGAGGACTCTTTATACTTTTTTTAATTCTCTCTAGCTTTCAATGGACTTTGCCATCATCATCAGGAGCTGCAATTACAATGATAACAGTAGCAACAAAGGTGTAAAATGAATTTAAATTGACTCAACTTACAGTAGTATGTGAGGATGTTGCTAATTGTTGTTTACGTATAGGATGAGGGAAACGTCCATCCTATACGTAAACAACAATTAGCAACATCCTCACATACTACTGTAAGTTGAGTCAATTTAAATTCATTTTACACCTTTGTTGCTACTGTTATCATTGTAATTGCAGCTTCTGATGATGATGGCAAAGTCCATTGAAAGCTAGAGAGAATTAAAAAAAATGAAGAGTCCTCTTTGCTTAAATTTTGTCGAAGTACCCAACAAAAGGCGGAAGCTTTAATTTTTCACCTAACTGGTCTAGACGACAATGACCACGTCTCAAGTTATATATATATATATATAGGGAGAGAGAAAATTATCATGAGGAGAAAGGTATATAACAAAAAATAGGAAAATAATGGGCAACATCCGCAAAAAGAAAGAAAGTGGATTCGAGCAGAAAATAGGATAGGTAACCCGAGCGATACGTATTTCTACTGGTAGGCTTCATCAGGCCTGAATTGAATGCACATATGCAACCACAAAAGTAGATACACATGCCCATACATTCGAATACTGGTGTAACCTGAGGAAACGAGCTATATATAGAGTATGAAGTTAATTAGAGAGACGTGTCCCCCTATAGGAAGATGAATTGGGAGTTTTTCGAATAAATGGAAAAGATATATTTACAAGCTTGTTCAATGGCGAGTTGACCGTTTTTACTATAGTACCAGCGTCTAGCCGTCTCAGTGGTGACCTGGCTGTCAAATGAGAACTGGGTTACGGACCCAGCAAACACCTTGGCAGTGGTCACTGCTGGTAATAGATCGCAAACAGATAAAAAGGAAAGCAGTCAAAAGGATGTAGTCATATGAAAAACTCGAACCATTAGATGTGTTACGGGTTTAATTTGAAAACCTTGTAGGAATTGCCGTGACCCTGCAATAATCGTAAACACTAAACAAGGGTAGACATATTTCTAGTTTAACTACCTGAAGATTTTCTCTATGGTTTATACGTAACTCTCCACCTATTATCTCATTTTGTAGTTGAGGCCCCTTCATCTGAGAATTGTTTACGTCTTCGTTTCTTTCCTAACCTCAATGTTACATGTTGACAAGTGTTCGGTCCTTTCAGTCCGGGAACAGTCCGCTGTTGTTCCATTGCTCCGTTGCTCCTCTCGAACTTTGTGTTCCGTGTCCAAGTTGAAGAGACTTCACTTTTTGGTCGTAGCTCTGTTGAGAAGCACGCATTTTCCGGATCTTTACTCCAAATGAGGTCTAAGCGTTCTTCCTTTTTATGTCTCATATAATCCTATGGGGAGTCTTCGACGCTTTTACGGCGTTCTAGCCGACACTTTTAGGCCACACTCCAACAGAGGTAAGCAATTCGGTTTGCGTTAAAATGGAACCCGGCGCCATATTGGATTTTTGTTTCAGGCCTTTTTCATCTTCTTCCAACTTTTTCATCTTCTTCCAACTTTTCGTCTTCTTCACCTTACGTTTTCTCCAACAAACTACTGCTGATACCTTCAGATGAAGCCCTGACGACTTTTCCACGCCCTACCCTGTAATGATAGTTCCAAGCAGCCCTGAGGAAGGGAGCTGATTCAGCTGTTGCCAATGTCCACAGACGCCATGTGCTGAAACCCCGTCGAACTGCATCTA